ACTAACAGTCTAACCCTGTAGTACAGGTATTATGTACTTTTAAACTAGACTGTAGGCCTATTGGGTAATGTCTGTGTCTTGTACAGATTCACTTTTGTGGAGCAAACATCCAAGACTTTCACTCACCTTTAACTTTTGTACAGTTAAGTGACCAATACAAGTTATTTGATTTGATCATTTTTGGCCCTTTTCCTGCCCTTCCCTTCCAGATCTGCGGAATTCGATAAAGGTTTCATCCATTTAGTAATAGTATGCTAGGCTGTCTGTGAGCTGTGACTTTGTATCCGCGCTGTGACATCTTTCAAAGCACACAAGCACCGTCAACACCTGTCACAGCGGCTAACGTTAAACCATATTTTTACAGTCTATGGGCCACACAGCAACCACAGTGATCGTTATTGGCCTCCATGCTGCCTTGTGCTGTTTACTAACCCTGCGGTGTGGCCATGACGTTAAATGTCAGAAAAAATGTCTCACAGCAGTCATGATTTCCTAGCAGTGTGAAAAAAGTGGGTCTACTATTTTTAGCATGGTGTCTGCATTAAAAAAAAACCCTGCATGTACCAACGTACCGTTACTCATGCATGTCAGCAAATAACAGTTAGCCTAATATAACGTTAGCTAGTTGCTAAAGTTTGTGTCTTACCTGCTGCACACTCCGCTGCTTTCTCGTCAGACCAGATAGCGTTCCTTTCACTGTGGACTTTGTGTGTGAAGCCACATGGCCAGAAATATTAAAAGGCTTTTAGTTATGACATTATACATTATAGTCCTCCCTCCAGCCCTGTTCACTTGGACTGCTTGGTTTCATTGCAGTGTGCTGGCAGTCAGAGCTCCCCCTACAGTCCATAGACTGTGTCTGCGCCTCAGCCGTTTCAATCCCTCCCTCCATCCTTTGGGCCACAACTCCTCGTTTGCATACACTCCTCAATCCTAAATCCCAAATGCCCAATCCTCAATACCTAAATGCCCTATTCTAAATACCAAATGCCCAAATGTCCAATCCTAAATGCCCAATCCTAAATACCAAATGCATTTTCCATTTAGACTTTTAGTTTTAATCTGACCCAATAATCCCTCCATAAGAGGGAAGCCAGGCTTCCCCTGTTTTTTTTTCAGGCTCTAATTATAATTTTAATAAAAACACAATGTTTAAAGTTTTGATAAATGTTGTTGCTGTCATCTTTTCCCCATTTTTCAATGAGTGAAACAACGCCACTCTAAATGCTATGCGACTCCATGTGGAGGCCAAGCAGAGTTGGCGTCCCTTTGTGAAAAAAAATGAAATGATTAACCTATCAGATGAGGCCACTGTCATGCCACTGCCAAACTTTGATTAGTCAGGATGATGCCAAGGGTTGAGTTTTTAGTAATAAATAGATTTACTAAACTACCACTGCAGCAGCAATTTAAGATTAAATCTGATGGAAGACCAACGCCAAAACTGGAGGGTTTCAAACGTTCAATGAGGAAAACTATGTCCGTTCTGAGTGGCTAGCTGGTAGCTCCAAACTTCAGTGCCTGTTTTGCTGGTCATGTCTTCTTTTTGACAAAGATTTGTGTTCACTGAACAACCCTTGAGTCACTACAGGTGTATGAGCCATTTTCATTCTGTATTCTTTTATGTAATTCTTGTCTTGTGCCACTAGGGGGCTGTATGTGCTTTGCAGTTCAGCTGATCTCGAGTCATGGAGGTGTGGGTTATTTACGTAGAGGAAACCCAGACACAGGTGTTGCTGATTTGGGAAGCAAACAGTTTTTGACTGTTTGTGTCTAGCCTGGGGGTGAGCAAGGCACGATGGTGTTGGTTACATGTATTACGAGCAAAGATAATGCCACTGTATGAGATATGGAGGAAAATAAACTTGCTAGTTAATAGTAACATTACCGAAGTCCCCGTATGATATTTAAGACGCTGCACGGGCACACGTCTAAACTTAATCCGCTGTATTAG